TCAAAATCAAGTCCCCACTCATGTTCGATCGTAATATCGTAATGTATAGCACTCTTTATTAAATCAGTAATTGTATCATGGAGTTCCACCTCTTGATGATTAACAGGAGTTATTGCAATATTTGTGAAATGAAATGTCGCAATTAACAAATTAATAACATTAGCTGGATTTATTACTGACATTATGATACAAATCTTAAGGATATTTTAATTAAACATTTCTCACAGCAATAATAATATACGTACTGCTTCAATAACTGCTTCAATAACACTGAAATGTATTCCAAAATGGACAGCTTTTATATGCAAATGAATGAAGATAACATATGTCAATATAATGAACCTTGATTGCACTGTACTTGATAAAGAGTGCTATTTTGGTCGCACAGTCATAAAACTTGTGACAAGTGTTTTGCATGTTGCCATGATGTACACACACGTGCGCACGTACAAAAACACACATACACACACACACATATTTATTTATATTTACGCGTGTCGTTTAAATTAATGAAAAAGGTAGCCGCAATGTTGGCAAAATAAACGTCTATTACGTGAAATTTTATAATTTATAACATTTTTAAATATTAGTGACTGTATTCTTATCATGCTATTTTTCTCCTACTTACTTCTTAACATCAACTTTATTGCTTTTTTAGATTTTCTATTTTCTTCCTTCCTTATCTTTTACAGTTTGCAATTATGAGGAAGATTTGAGGAAGAAAGAAATGCCATCGTCAAGTAGCGAATCCTTAAGTTTGGTACGCGTAGCATACATATAAGAGCATGTTTAATTTTTTTTTCAATATTGCCTTTTCCAAACATAATGTTATTATATATGGTTGAATTTGTCATAAAATAAGCTTTATTTTGGTTGGACAATTGATTTTAACAATTTGAAAAAAGAGAAGGAGGGGGGGTATTTTATACACAATTTTACATTTTTAAAAAATCTAAATATAGCATAATAAAGTACTTTTAAAACCATAAAACTTTTGTCTAAAACATTTTTTCATATCTTTAATAGTTTCGATAATATTCGCTTAGAAAGACAAAAATCAACTTTGTTCAAGGGGTTGTTTCCACCCTTAAAACCGTTTTTGGGCACCAACGAAAAATTGTTTTGTTATTAGGTATATCTGCTCTACAATTATGCAAAGCTTCAGATTTTTTTGAATTTCCGCGTTGCCGAATGTCCCTTGTTAGTTAAAGCAAATATTTACGAAGGAGTTTCATAAGAGACGTAAACAAACCGGGCTCATAAAGTCACAACAAGAATACGGCTCAATACTTTTGAACACATGTAAATATTATATGACTAAATAATTAGAAATTATGTAATTTCAAAATTTTGTAACTGTACTATTATTTGTAAGAATGTTATGTCAACTATTTTATATAATTAATTTTTAGAGCAAATCAATATATTGTCACATATCTTAAAAAGATACTATGGCTCGAAACTTTTGCACACCACTGTAGCTATTACACACACACACACACGCGCGCGCGCGCGCGCACAGAAATCGTAAGATCGTAAGAAATTAGAGAAAAGAGAACATTTAACTAATTTATTAATTTGTAACGATACGATCGTTACGTATCGGGCCGAGCCGAATGCAGTCCGCGGGGAAGCACCCTGCACAGGATACAAGTGAGCGAGAAGGGTGGTAAGAACGAGCGAGCGACGAGAACGAGAGAGCGAGCGAGCGAACAAAGGAACGAGCGAGCACGCGGTGCGCGCGTGGAGGCAAGGACCGCCTCGCCGCGCGTGGCATGCGAACATCACCTGCCCCCCCGTGTCGCGCGATACGGAAGGGGAACGACTAGAGTCGCACGGGCGGCCAATATAAGGCGCCGTGCGACTGGCAAGAGGACCTGTCTTCCGACGCCTCGAGACGAGGCACCGACCCGCCTGAGAGTTCTCCGGCATCTTCCACAGCGAGCGTACTCGCCATCCCGAGAACGAGTGTCCTCGCCGACTTCTCCAGAGGCGAGCGTACTCGCCATCCCGAGAGCGAGTGTCCTACTTCTCCAAGGCGAGCGTACTCGCCACCTTCTAAAGCGAGCGTACTCGCCATCCCGAGAACGAGTGTCCTCGCCGACTTCTCTAGGGCGAGCGTACTCGCCACCTTCTAAAAGCGAGCGTACTCGCCACCTTTTCTAACAGCGAGCGTACTCGCCATCCCGAGAGCGAGTGTCCTCGCCGGCTTCTCCCAGGCGAGCGTTCTCGCCACCTTCTATAAAGCGAGCGTACTCGCCACCCTCTCCCTACGGCGAGCGTTCTCGCCACGCTCCCTGAGCGAGCGTACTCGCTCACTGCCTGTGGCGCGTGTCCTCGCCATCTCAAAGACGAGGGTGCTCGCCCGCCGTAGACAACGGAAAGATCTCCGCGGATAGCCTCGACCGCGTCCCAGCGTGCGAATAAGTGGCCCGAAGAGCCACGGGCAGCCCGCCGGCCCCGAACTTTTCCGCGGACGGATCTCGACAAGCGACCACCCACCGGCCGCACGCACCACCCATTATACCTCAGCACTGTTCACTTCTAAATAAAGTTATTAAATCAATATTAGAGCAAATAATTGAGCGCGATCTCTTCCCGCCGCTGGGTTCCGGCGAGCCGCGCCTCGCCGAGACCCCTCGATAACATTCCTTAGCGGGAAGGACCAGCACTCCACGGACGCACTCCACGCGTTACAAATTTCTATCACCTTATGACTGTAAGGTGCGTGTAATGTAAAGCTTTACATAGCAGTTTAACAATATGACTTATTCAATTTTAACAAAACTTGATGTTCCATGCTGTCATCATGTAGGCGATTCCTTTGTGGCGTTAAGATTAAACCATTGACATTAAAGAGTCTTTCAACTGACGCACTGCTTGGTATTGCAGTGTGGTACTTAATGAAAAGTTTCTTAATTAGTGGATATGAATTTAATATTTGGACATTAGTGCCTGTTGACTTTAAAAATCTTTGCCATTCATTATAGGAAGAGTCCTCATTTGATGTTTGCTATTTGAAATTAAAAAAGTCATCGTTATCATCGTACTTATCAGACATCAAAGAATTTTCAGTTGAAAAAATTCCTAATAAATCTTCTCAATATGTTTGTGCAAGTTTTCGCTTATCTCCGGCTAACCAACTCAATTTGAATTTGGGGTACAAACAACTGGCAATTATCAATTCTTTTTTTCAAACGTAATACAAAACCTAAAGTTAAATCAATAAAATTAAATATGAACATATTGATTTTTCTTTCTCTTTTTGATCAAATGAATGTTGTTTGATGAACATGTGTTAACCAAATTACACCAACTTACCTTTCTTTCAAACCTTTCTGTATAGCTGCAGCTAATGGATGATAATATGTGAATCCATCTTTATTGGTTCTAACTAAACTCAGCACAAAATAAGAAATACGTTGAAATTAAATACAATTAAGTTTAATTTTATAAAAATTAAAAAGTAATGATTAAAGTAACGGACGTTTCGTTACTGGTTACACAAAAATGTATCGCCGTTACTCTTTCGTTACTGACACAAAAAAGTAACGGCGTTACCTAATCGTTACTCAAAAAAGTAACGATACGGCGTTACAAGTAACCCAATACTTTCCAACCCTGCTATTACTAGGTGCGCGACTAAGTTACCGGGTTTCACACATGGATGGCGCTAACGACACATGTAGTCGACATACATGTCTGAAGTTGTGTTTTTTTTATAATTTGGGTGTCTGTTAACAATAACCAGTTGTTAATACCAACTGGTCGCCAATATCAACATATCGCAACGCAAAAATATTTTTTCTAACAACGAAGATGTCGAGTTTTGTGCCAAATAAACAGCATTTGCAGGAAGCTTTGCTTTTCTGCTTTAACTTGAAAAAAGTGCAGCTGAACCACGTCGTTTGCTTGAGGAGGCCTACGGCGACACATGCACCATCGAAAACTACCTGTGAAGATTGGTTTAAACGCTTCAGAAGTGGCGATTTCGACATTGAGGACAAGGAGCGCTCCGGAAGACCAAAAACAATTGAGGACGCCGATTTGCAAGCGTTATTGGATGAAGATGATACGCAAACACAAGATCAACTTGCGGAGGCATTAAACATGACTCGCCAAGGTATTTCCAAACGTTTACATGCCATGGAAAAAATTCAAAAGGAAGGAAAATGGGTGCCGCATGAATTGACTGAGAGACAGATGGAAAATCAAAGAACCACTTTTGAAATTTTGCTTTTGCGGCATGAAAGAAAGAGTTTCCTGCAATTACTGGCGATGAGAAGTGGATATATTTCGAGAATCCCAAACGCAAAAAATCGTGACTTTCACCTAGCGAAGCATCAACATCGACGGCACGGCCAAATCGCTTCGGAAAGAAGACAATGCTCTGCGTTTGGTGGGACCAGAAAGGAATCGTGTACTATGAGCTGCTGAAACCAGGCGAAACTGTCAATGGGCATCGCTACCGACAACAACTGATCAATTTGAATCATGCATTGCTCGAAAAACGGCCACAATGGGACACGAGACACGAACGAGTGATATTGCAGCACGACAACGCTCCGTGCCATCGCAACTTCCATCGTCCAGGACACCATCAAAACGCTGAAATGGGATCTGCTACCGCACCCACCGTATTCGCCAGACCTAGCCCCTTCCGATTATCACTTGTTCTGGTCGATGGCGCATGGCTTGGCTGGGCAACACTTGGCCAATTTCGAAGAAACAAATTGGTTGAATGAATGGTTTCGGTCCAAAGACGCGTCGTTTTATCGTCGCGGTATTCATGTATTGCCAAAGAGATGGCAAAAATGTGTAGCTAGCGAGGGACAATAATTTGAATAAACCATGTTTTGTATTTCTCTTGAAATTTTCCATTTTTCATTGATAAAAAAACCCGGAAACTTAGTTGCGCACCTAGTATTACCATTTTTGTTATGTAACATTCCTGAAGCTATTTAGGTTGAAGAGTAATAAGAATTATCGTCTGTTTTCAGAAAGTGTCCAAACGGACTCGAATCCAAGCGGAATCGTTCATTACTCAAATGCGCAACGTATCATTACAGAGAAGGTAATTAACATGTTATATTTCTCCGACGTGCTAGAAGTCATTTAATAACTGCGATTTCTCATCACGATATCACGCTGCAATCAGATATTTGCGCAAGAAATTTCAAACGAACAAAACCATCGATAAATGATTATTAGCTCCGGTAAACAGTTATACTGTATAATTCATAATTACTGTGCGATAACTAAAAACTGTCAGAATGTATCGTTCTTTCGCAGAATGTCACGATCACGATCGTTATTATTATTTCGCTCACTCATTATAAAACTGTATCAAAAGCAAAACAAGTCGGAGAGATGTTAGAGAAGAAAATGTTATGAATAGTTGTAAATATATCATCAAATGAACCTCTTTAAAGCTCTTCCATCATAGTAACGATGTAATGCGCATATTATGAATCTCCATGAGCTAGTAAATTGTTGAAAGATTCGATCAACTGCTCCAGGTATTGTCTACGTATTATGGCAGGAAATAAAATCGAGGTGGAAAAAAGATAAAAACCCATCTGAGAACAAAAAATATTCAGCTACGAGCCTTTTTTCCCAGAGGCGATTCTCTCTCTCTCTCTCTCTCTCTCTCTCTCTCTCTCTCTCTCTCTCTCTCTCTCTCTCTCTCTCTCTCTCTCTCTCTCTCTCTCTCTCTCTCTCTCTCCTCTCTCTCTCTCTCTCTCTCTCTCTCTCTCTCTCTCTCTCTCTCTCTCTCTCTCTCTCTCTCTCTCTCTCTCTCTCCCTCTCTCTCTCTCCTCTTCTCTCTCTCTCTCTCTCTCTCTCTCTCTCTCTCTCTCTTCTCTCTCTCTCTCTCTCTCTCTCTCTCTCTCTCTCTCTCTCTCTCTCCTCTCTCTATCTCTCTATCTCTCTCTCTCACNTGGCAAGTGCCAAACTTGTTTTGCGGACCCGGGGGGCAGATTATTTATGCACTGAGGTAAAGATAAATTACTAATATAAAGTTAAAATAGATAAATCAAGTAAAGGTAATCACCATTCGTGATTCCGATAATTCAGGATATTTTTATATATTATTATTTATATACTAGGTGCGCAACTAAGTTTCCGGGTTTCACACATGGATGGCGCTAACGACACATGTAGCCGACATACATATCTGAAGTTGTGTTTTTAATAGCTTGGACATCTTGTTAACATAACCAGTCGTAATATCAACATATATCGCAACGCAAAAATATTTTTTCTAACATTGAAGATGTCGAGTTTTGTGCCAAATAAACAGCATTTGCGGGAAGCTTTGCTTTTCTGCTTTAACTTGAAAAAAGTGCAGCTGAAGCACGTCGTTTGCTTGAGGAGACCTACGGCGAACATGCACCATCGAAAACTACCTGTGAAGATTGGTTTAAATGCTTCAGAAGTTGCGATTTCGACATTGAGACAAGGAGCGCTCCGGAAGACCAAAACAATTGAGGACGCCGATCTACAAGCGTTATTGGATGAAGATGATACGCAAACACAAGGTCAACTTGCGGAGGCATTAAACATGACTCGCCAAGGTATTTGCAAACGTTTACATGCCATGGGAAAAATTCAAAAGGAAGGAAAATGGATGCCGCATGAGTTGACTCAGAGACAGATGGAAAATCGAAGAGCCACTTCCGAAATTTTGCTTTTGCGGCATGACAGAAAGAGTTTCCTTCATCGAATTGTTACCGGCGATGGAAAATGAATGTATTTCGAGAATCCCAAACGCAAAAAATCGTGGCTTTCACCTTACGAAGCATCAACATCGACGGCACGGCCAAATCGCTTCGGAAAGAAGACAATACTCTGCGTTTGGTGATACAAGAAAGGAATCGTGTACTATGAGCTACTGAATAAGCGGGCGAAACTTTTTTTTTTTTTGGTCACGCAGGGGAAATCCATCATGGATACCCCCTCCCCTTGGGGGGGAGGGGTTATGTCGACTCTTACCGACTAAAACCCCTGCGGGATGTCTACCTGTCGGACCGTGAGGAGGGGAGTCGGGGGAACTACTCCCGTATTCCCTCCCCAATCCCCCGGCCCAGGCTCCCTTCCGGGAGCCTCGCCACCTGTGTACCGCGCCCTGTCCGGGTCACGCGGTCCCCAGGTACCCTCCTCTGTCCCGGAGAGCCCCCCCTCCCCCCCCCTGCGTTGTGACGCCGCCCCCCGCCCCCCCCGTCCGTCCCTGGGGCGTCCGCCGTACTCCGCGACCGGCCCGGCGGGACTCCCGACCCTCGCGGGTCTGTGAGCCCCCCTCGGCGGCGCTGCCCGGGCCCGCTGTCGCGTCCCTCGTCCCCTGGGGGCGTTGTCCGTCCGGGAGCTGCTCCCCGCAGCCCCGGTATAGTCTTCGCCCCCACTCGGCGGTCTCCTTCTGGGACATTACTTCTCACAGAAGGAGACCGCCGCTGTCCACGCCTCCTCCTCGCTCCCGCACATGGCTTTGACCATGTGCGGGAGCGAGAGCTCCCCCTCTCGGTATCCCACCGCCCCGCAGAGGACACGGCGCTCCCCGGCCCATGCTGGGCACGCGACCAGGGTGTGGTGCGCCGTGTCCTCCGCCGCGGGGCAGTGGTGGCATCGAGTGGTGAGCTCCTTCCTTATCCGGCGCAGGTACCGACCGAAGCACCTGCCGTGCCCGGTCAGCACCTGCGTCAGACGGAAGGATAGTCCACGTCCCCTCCTGCCTGTCAACTCGGACAGGCAGGGGCGGACAGCCGCGGCCGTCGCTGGCCCGGGACCCCGGGGGTCGGACAATAGGTCCGCCCATCTCTCCCGGGTCCAGGCCTCGGCCTGGAGCCTCAGACCCCTCAGGGCCCTGACCGACACTGTTCCCTCCTTGCGGAGCTCCTTCACTCTCCAATATAGGAGGTGACGCTCCTCTGCGAGGAGCTCCACAGGGGGGACGCCGGCCAGGGTGGTCGTCGCCATGTACGACACGGCCCGGTACCCCCGAATCGCCCTGATTAGCACGGGCCGCAGGGCCTGCCGCAGTGCGCGCTTGCTGCCGCGGCAAGCCCCTAGCTGTGGCGCCCATATGGGCGCCCCGTACAGGGCAATCGAGAGCACCGCCGCGACGTACAGGCGGCGAGCTCTCCATCTTGGGCCCTCTTGGTTGCGCGTCAGGCTGGCCACCGCCAGTCCTGCCTTGTGTACCCTGGGGGCCAGTTCCCCAAAGTGGGGTCCGAAGCTCCACCGGCTGTCTAGCGTCAGGCCGAGATATCGCATCGTCGGCCCGACGCGGATGTGAACTCCATCTACGAGCACCTGGGTCCCCAGCGGCGCCCTTCGACCCCTGCCGTGAAAATACACGACCTGGGTCTTATTGGGCGCCACCTTGAGACCCAGGTCTCTAATGGTACTCATCACTGATACCAATGCCATCTCTGCGCGGAGGCGGGCTTCCCCCCAGCTCTCCCCCCCGGCTACCACTAACGTGTCGTCTGCGTAGCAGACGACGTGGCAACCGAGGCGAAGCGGAGTGCGCAGCACCCGGTCGAACGCGATATTCCATAGCATGGGGCTGAGAACCGACTCCTGCGGAACACCGCGCTCCATAACGCGCCGGCCTTGGACCCCGCCCTCCACCGGGAAGGCGAGGTCCCTGCCCCCGAAATAGGCCGATAGGATTCGCCGGAGATAGACGGGCACCCCGTGGTGTTCGAGGGTCCGTCCAATCTCTGGTCAGGGCAGGGTGTTGAAGGCGTTCATTATATCTAACGACACTGCCAACAACACCCCGCCCTCCTCCACGACCGCCCGGGCCAGGTTCCGGAAGCACTGGATAGCATCCAGTGTTGACCTTCCGGACCTGAACCCGTACTGGCGGTTGTGGAGGTCCGGCCCCTTCGAGGACAGGTGCTGGACGAGGCGGTCGGCAACGATGCGCTCCAACATCTTGCCCGCCTCGTCCAGCAGGCATATCGGCCTGTAGGCCGACGCACTCCCGGGTGCTTTGCCTTCTTTGGGGAGGAGGACCAGTCTGGCCCTTCTCCACTCTGGGGGGAATACCCCTCCTTCAGACACCCGCTGAAAACCCTGCGTGTGCTTCGAACAGGTTTCCCTCGCCGAGGGCGAGGGTCCAGGCTGGCCAGGAATGCCGTCGGGGCCAGGGGCTTTCCCCTTGGCCCCGAGCCTTTTCCTGGCCGCAGTGAGCTCCACTGGACTCACCGCCAGATTCTCGTCCCAATCACCCTCCCCCAACGGGGGCATCATGGGGGGCCCCTTCTGCCCTCGGAAAGAGGGCATCCAGGAACCCCTCGAGGGCCTGGCGGTCTAACGTCTCCGTTGGTGGGGCACCCATGGCGGATCTTCCCCATGACCCTTTTGTATGGGCGCCCCCACGGATCGTCGTCCAGGGAGCTCACCATCTGCTCCCAGGCCGCTCGCTTGGCCTCGACGATGGCGGCCTTGAGGGCTTTCCTGGCTCTCAGGTAGCCCTCTTTTGTCCTTGCGGCGTCCCCGCCTCGTCGCCGGGCTCGATAGTACATACGTCTGGCGTGGACGAAGGAGTCTCGGAGGGCCTCCAGCTCCTCCGTCCACCAGTACATGGCCCGGCGCCGGCGGGGTGGGATTGGGGCATCGCGACGTCGCATGCCGACGCCACAATGCCCACTATTTCCCCAGCCCCATCCGCGGGCTGGGGTCCCACTCACCTGGCCCCACGTCTAGGTGCCAGGTGGCCGCAAGGACGGCCGCCCGAAACCTATCCGAATCTAGTCGATTAAGAGCCCATCTTTTGGGGAGGGGAAGTTCCCCTCCCCTGGGCAGCGGGCCAGCACCTGTGCGGGTTTGGGGAGGCGCAGGGCCCACGCTATATGTCTATGATCAGACAGCGATTCGCCCTCCGCCTCCACCCTCCTTTCGTGGAACATCCCGGCGGCCGAGGGGATGGCCCAGGTCAAATCTATGACCGAACTCCCCCTCGGCCGCACACAGGTGCTGGTTGAGCCCCTGTTCATTAACAGGAGGCCCAGCCCCGCTGCCCAGCCGATCACGGACTCGCCCCGAGGGTCCCTTTGCCGAGGACTGCAACCCCACCCTTCCGAGTGGGCGTTGAAGTCCCCGGCAATCACGACAGGTCGGGGATGGCACCTACGTACTAATTCCCCGATCCTATCGAGGACCCTCTTCACTGGGACGAGCTCCCCGCGACCGGCCTTATTCCTGCGGTAGGGAGATACACCCCCACCACAGTGATGGGCCCCCAATCGACCGCCACGTACGAGGACCCGTTCTCCCTAAAAGTACAGGGAGGGGTCCCCGCCGCAGGGTTCGCCACCATGGCCACTGAGCCGTCCGGGCTGCCGAACCAGTTCGGACCTGGTACCGGCACCCAGTACGGCTCGGCGACCACCCCCAGCCCGGCGCCCAGCTCAGCCATTCTCTGCATGCAGAGATCCTGAGCCCGGGCGCCGCGGCCGAAGTTGGCCTGTAGGGCCTGGAATAATGTGAAGGCTAGGCCTTTCACGCCTCCTCCGGGCTGCCTACTTCAACCCCCTCCTCTTGGGAGGTTTCCGACGGCCGTCTGGGTCTCCCTGGAGGGGGTTTCGGCCGTGGTGGCCTCCATCGCGGGTGTCTCTGCAGAGATATG